ATTTTATAAGGAAAAGCTAAATGGTAAAAATCAGCCTATGTGATATTGCCAATTTTTTGTCATTTCGATCTTTCTCTTAAAATTCACCTGGCTTGATATATTTTTCTAAGGTTTATATTACTCTTTTAGCGCCAGGATAACATATTCTGAAATTTATTTTCACTTGTAAACCTTTACTGAATGTGATTTGTCTATATTCATTTTTTTATTGAAATATTACTAATATTTTCCAAATCTATTTTATTTTCCAGTTCTTCGGAAAAAATATTCTAAGAACCATCCACTTTTCTAAACTTGTGACATGATATTTAATCTTTTTCAAAGAAAAAAATTGTTTGTATCATCTGTCCTTAAACGTCCACATTTGGCCCCCCGATAATTTACAAAAAAATAAGTTTAAAGATTTTCTACATATTTTTGTCTCAATCTTTTCATCAAATATTTTTGTTTATGAATTTCATTTTCAATTTTCACTTCCTTGCACTGTAATTGGGTATTTATCTGATTAATATAGCAGAGGTACGTTGTTTACATCGATTTCCCATAGGCTTTAGGCCACACCCCCATTTTGAAAGCCCAATTTTTATATGAGCGCATAGATGTTTCAAGTTGTAGTAAATAGGGTCAATGAAAAGAGTTAAACTTGTCATATTAATTCATGAAAGAAATTGAAACAGTCGTGCGCTCACATGTTATTTTCCAAAAGCTAGGTGCAAAATCACGGGTACCTGTCCCTATAGTAAAGACACCTTGTTTACAAATTTCAACCCGCCTTTGACCTCATGAATAACAAAGCATTAAACATGTGACTCAAATCTATTCACTTTCATGCTTTGAGCAGATCAATGCGACATCGTGTCCAGTGTTGCGAGCTATCGATGGTCAAATCGTTTTCAAATGGGTAATTAGAATTTAAAGTACCCTGGGATAAAATTTCTTTAAAACGGTATATTTTAGACTTGTTAACAATTTTGATTTACTTGTTATTTCAGTCAATTTTGTTTAATTTTTTTCTCGGTATTTATCACCCCTCTAGATCCCTTATTTAAGGGGTCAGCCCTTTTTTCGAGATATCAATTGAAAGATCTCAAAATTCTCCACGACTTTTCTTCTATATGTTTAAACAAAATATTTACAAGTAAAATGATATAATAGAAAAAGTGTTAGAAGTTTTGAAAAGCTCAATATGACTTTTTTCAGTCCATGCCGAGCGTTAATGTGCAGTACTTCCAGTGAAAGTTAACAACACAATGCAAATCTACATATGTTGCTCTATCTTCCTGAAAAGGTTTCATCTTCCTGTGATGAGCGGTTTTTAAGAAGAGCGACGGACAAACTGACCCTTAAAAATCACAAAACTGCGAAAATCTCCGAACCGGAAGTGACGTCATCAAAATAAAAAAAGGGTATCGAGATTTTTTAATGTTATATCAGACCTGAAAGTTTCATAAAAATCTAACGAGCCGTTTTCGAGAAATCGCGTGCACAAAATCGGTAAGAAAAAAAATAAGAAAAACAGTGGAAAAGAAACAAACGAATAACAAGAAGGTCTTCCGCTGAAGACGGAAGACCTTAAAAATAGTGGAAAAGAAACCTAAGAATAACAGTAAGGTCTTCCGCTGAAGACGGAAGACCTCAATAATCTTTACCAACAGAATCAGTAGTAGGTCTTCCGTTGGAAACGGAAGACCTTAATAAGCGATATGTTCGATGATGACAATATCAGGGCCAGGAGGACTATAAAGAACAATTATGAGGAATGTTTTGTTGTGGAAAGAGTCAAAGAATATGTTAGGAACACATGGTTAGTAATATCTTGAGATTATACAGTTTAAAAACATCGAGAAATAAACCGAGAACCGAGCGCACTTTTTTGTGCGCAATAAATATACAGTTTTTTCAATGGGTGACACTGTAGCTCTCCGGTCTATCAATATTTTTTTCGGAGAGCTACAGATCTGCAGCTACTTAGATTACTGATAAAACCCTGGAGCAAAGGAAAAGAATTTTAAAAGATTCGTGCATTTTCACTAGATATATTCATTAGAGCCCCGCCCTAACACCAGAACCCCTGACCCTGGGGCCCCGAAATTCACAAATTTGGAAGTGGCATCATTCATCATCATAATTGTGTACTGGTTCATAGGTTTAATACTCCTAAGCAAAAGAGAAGAATTTTAAAGAATTTGTGCATTTTCACTTTATAATCAATTGAGCCCCACCCAAACAAAAGAACCCACGACCCTCGGGCCATAAAATTCACAATTGTAGAACAGGCAGTCTTATTCAACATAACCATGTACTTGGTTTATTTAATACCCAGGAGCAGAGAAGATTGCCAAAGAATTCATGTATTTTCACTATTATTAATAGATCCCCGCCCAAACTCCAGAACCCTGACACAGAGGCCATGAAATTCACAATTTTGAAAGAGACATTTTTCCTGATCATAGATATGCAATTGGATAATCTGTAATACCCAGGAGCAGAGAAGATTTTCAAAGAATTTGTACATTTTCACTACATTATCTATATAGCCTGGCCCTAGCACCTAAGAACCCCTGACCCTCGGGCCATGAAATTAACAATTTTGAAGGGGGCAGCCTTATTAAAAAAAACTATGTATTGGGTTAGTTTTTTAATGCCCAGGGGCAGAGATTTTCAAAAAAATAATGTTTTTTCATTGAATAATCTAGTTAGTCCCGCCCTAGCACTAAAACCCCTGACCTTGGGGCCATCAATTTTGGTAGAGGATTCAATGCTGATTACAATCATGCCAACCATTTGAATGCTTTATGTCCGGGAGTAAAGAAGATTTTTAAAGATTTTATTAATTTTAGTGGTTTTGGCCCCAACCCTCAGGCCCCAGGCCTAGGGTGACAGAGTCCATGAAATTTTTATTCCCCGTCACCCATAGATGCTTTCTGCCAAAATTGGTTAACTGAGCGGTTGCAGAGAAGAAGCTGAAAATGTTCAATTGTAAATACACAACACGACTCGAGTCGACGGACGAAAACGGCAATAGGTCACTGTGTTTATCATACAATATCATACCATAGAAATGGGCATAAATGTTTACATAACCATTATAGATACAACTAATGCATTGGACACTGTATGGAGGAAAGGCCTCATGTGTAAATGGCACAAGCTTAACATTCGAGAAAAAATGTAGGACATCCTCGACGACTGTCATCAGAACACAGAGAGCGCAGTTATAGTCAACTAATCTACTTTCCAGTCCAACAAGGCGTCAACCAGCATCTACTGAGGACAATTTAAAATTCAATACGAAATGGTTTGTGAACATTTGGGTATAACTATCAGCTCTAATACGAAATGCAAATATCGAATTTCTCAGGCATGCTCCAATCGGATGAAATTCCTTCTACGCTTTGTCGGACTGACATATCCTGAGCTAATCCTCCGATGATGGTTCACCTATACCGATCAGTAGTGTTACCATCTGTTCTCTACGGGTGTGAAACCTGGAACCACATAACTAAACAAGAGGCCCAGGGGCCACAGCGCTCACCTGAGCACATCGGCTAGGAAAAAGCACATATCAGATCAGAACTGAAAGTTTACTGAGGTTGGGGGAGGGGGGGGGGGCTTAAATTTTAACACCCCATTGGATCATGATTTGAACGAACTAGAATCTACACTACCTGAGGATGATTCCATGTAAATATTACTAATCATGGCTTTGTAGTACTTGAAAAGAAGATTTAAAAAGATTTCACTATATATTCCAATGTAAAACTTTGGTCGGCCATTTTGGCCCCACCCTAGCCCTGGGGGTCATGATTTGAACAAATATGAATCTACACTACCTGAGAATAATTTCACAAGAGTTTTATCTTTCCTGTCTCAATGGTTCTTGAGAAGATTTTTAACGATTTTTCCTATATATTCCTATGTAAAACTTTGATCGGCCATATTTACTAATCCCTACCCCCTGGGGTCATGATTTGAACAAACTTGAATTTACACTATCTGAGGATGATTTCACATGAGTTTCAGCTTTCCTGGCCCAGTGGTTCTTGAAAAGAAGATTTTTCCTATATATTCCTATGTAAAACTTTGATCGGCCATTTTGGCCCCATCCTAGCCCCGGGGGTCATGATTTGAACAAACTTGAATCTACACTATCTGAGGATGATTCCACATGAGTTTCAGCTTTCCTTGAATTTACACTACCTGAGGATGTTTCCACATGAGTTTCATCTTTCCTGGCCTAGTGGTTCTTGAGAAGATTTTTTAAAAATGCCATTAATTTTTCTCTAATTCATAAATATCTCCCCTTGGAAAAGGGCGTAGCCCTTCATTTGAACAAAGTTGAATCCCCTTTATCCAAGGATACTTTGTAGCAAGTTTGGTTGAATTTGGCCCAGTGGTTCTTGAGAAGAAGATGAAAATGTGAAAAGTTTACAACGACAATGATGACTACGACGACAACAACGACGACAGACAACGGACAAACTGTGATCAGAAAAGCTCACTTGAGCCTTTGGCTCAGGTGAGCTAAAAAGATATAGGAAATGTAGTCCGGAAAAAAATCTCATTTGGCATAAATCCGCTATTACCGCATACCTTCGAAAAAGAAAGTCTAAAGTATTGTTTTCGTACGACCTATCTCAAGGTATAGGTGCTACCGTGAGGATTGTTTACATAATGTCAACAGAAATCACATATTCGATTTGGAAATTTTGACCTTTGGACCTGTTATTAAAACTGGCACCGGGTAAACATTGTTTAAACGAGGATTAAACAATCAGTAAAGGCATGATTTTTCTAAACTAGCAGTGCAAGTTTAGTGTGAATATTTTTCAATTGATATTGAAGTTTAGGAGGATTTTAATGAAGATTAGGACAAAAAGGAGAATTAAATGTCAAAGAACTCTTTCAAATCATTTAAAGTTTACGATAAATTGAAATGTAGAGGGTAAAAAATATTACTCAATCAGCAGCAACAGAGTCTAAAACTGTGTAATATAGATTTATTTCATAGACGCCTGACACAGGGGCCTTAGAGAATCAGTACAATCTTCAGCATGGAGACCTGGGCGGACTGGAGAGTAACTTGCACATGGTTTGGGATTGTGTACTCCTAATATGGCTCCAAAATAGTTTAAGGTACCTGCATGTCTGCCACTGGTGTTCCAGACGAATTCGCCATTCTTTCGTGGATCACGAGCTCCAATGAATAGGTGACTCCTTCCACTTACTAAATTATGTGTTCAATTATAAGAGTATAAGAATTAAAAAGAAACAGATTCACGTTTCTTAAAACTTTTTTTTAATTTGAAATGATTTAATTTATATGTAACACGTCATTTGATTGGATAAAAGATTTAGTTTATATCATTTAACATAAGTTACCTCCGTTATTTTTAAGATATGCTCAAGTGGAAGCAATTTTTGATGGAAAAATTCTCTTATTGTCTACACTGGTATCAAATTACAAGGAATAAAGCTTTTTCTAACCCATGTTTTTCGATATAACATAATTTGGGGCTGTTTACACGTAAACTGTTCCAAGTTATATTATATGGTTTCATATAGGTTATAATAATCCTTTTTACTTAATTAGTAGAAACTGTTAATATATATCTGTTCATTTTTCGGTTTCATCATTCGTTTATTCCTCCACTTTATTATATTTTTTTACAAAGTTGTTATTTGAAATTGGGCAATTCATATTGCAATTATTGCCAGGAAAAATTGTAGCTTACAGTGGTTTTATCTTAAAACCAAAAGAAACTTTCATATTGTCCTGTAATGTTTAAAATATTTTAAATTCCTCTTAGTTCCTAAACAATTATTTCTGGTTAATCTATAGAAATCTTACCAAAATGTTCAAGTGCTATGTAATCTCCGCGTGATAGGTTTTCGGCCAGTTTGGAACAGTGCGTCTTGCAAAAATTCTAAATATCGAAATTCACTTTTTAAAAAAGTTTTGCAAATAAAGTAAATAATCCTACTGTGAAGAAGGCATTAAATAACTAATATGGTAATGGTACTTACCATAGCATCATCGTAATTTAGAGCAGTACTTCCAATCATGTAACATTTACCATCTACGAGATGGAAGTTTGTAGGACAGTGGTGATTAGCAGCTGTGTAGGCACACACTATAGGAAAGCATTCGATTTAAACACAATTTTTCTGCATAAAAATAATTTCTTCTTTTCTTTTTTTTTGAAAGAAAACCTAATAACGTATTAAAGATGAGATACAGTGAGAACTGACCTTACTTAATGTTATTAAGCTAAACATTTGACAGATGACCCTAGGTTAAATTGCATACATATACAGTATCTATAATTATCGTACTGTCTGTAGGAGCGGCAGTAGTAGTAGCAGTCACATGGGTCAGGGCGTGATGGTTACAGAGGTCACCTGAACAACAGTCGCCATCTAGAGACAGTTCGACCGGATCTGCTCTCTTACCAAAGACATGACTAGCTTGGGTATGGAACTGACTGCAGACCTGTCAAAGTTAAGTGTCCAGTGAGTACATACAGTGGATATTATCATGGATGCCTTGAATTCGAGTAAAATACATTTGACTATGACAGACACAGATCTTCTTCCTTGTTATATGACCTGGTCAGCAAATGCAATTTATCATTGAGTCAAATCCTGATTGACGTTTTTCATACTTATTATTAGTCCAGTATTTATAAACTGAATTGACGGCGGATACTTCCGTTATTTCCCAATGATGACAAGGAGCTTGCCGCGGGTGTGACCGGTTGGCAGGAGATGCTCATTCCTCCATGGCACCTGATCCCACTTCTGTTTTTTTAGGTCCGTGTTTGCTCTGCTCCTGTTTTGTATTGTTCTATGGACTTTTGATCTTGGATACTTTTCGTTATCTCCATATGTTTCATGCTAGTTGTTTGAATTTCTTACCTTCTGATGCATACATCCCACGTTATAAGAATGTTCTCCACTGTATGAAAGAGTTTCCAACACATAGCAAGTCTGCAATATTGTTATAAAAGTGAATTTATGTTGCATTGAAAATAACTTTTATATAGCAAAAGGTTCTATTATAATTCGAAAAATAGATGAATAAGCTAATAAAAAGGCTAGTTTTCTTCTAACCTCTTCTCTCTCACATTGCGTGGTTGTGTTGCATTGTTCAGGATTCTTAACATGGTCACACCAATAGCA